TTGCTCTTCTATTCTATTTGATATATATATATATATATATATATATATATATATATATATATATATATATATATATATATATATATATATATATATATATACATATATATATATATATATATATATATATATATATATATATATATATATATATATATATATATGTATATATATATATATATATATATATATATATATATATATTGTGTCTGTGTGTGTGGACATATTCCTGTCTGCTTATTAACTTGCATTTTTTTATTCTTTTTTTTTTTACAGAGTATTGCCTGAAAAAATGACGAGATTTATTACACACTCCCTCGTCAAAGTTGTCTATCCGTTTGGAGATGTAACGGATCCCATTACTGGCAAGAAATGTGTGGTTAGCAGTTACAGGTTAGTTTCCTTATATCTAAAATCTTTCTGTCAAGGTTCTCTATTTATAATCTTAATTTGACTTTGGAAATTTCTGCAATTTGTTTGGAGAGACTGGTTTAATATTTATCATCATTACTTGTTTTCTCTCCTCTATGAGCTTTGTAGAAATATTTGCAAGTATATGACAATGGAAATTTTTATACCCCAAAATTACAACACTTACTCTAACCTAGGGAGAACATCGACAAACGTAACGAGATGTTTGGCATGGCGGAAGAAGGAGCCAGTAACTTTGATTACGCAGAAGCACCAGAGAGAGGATGGCAGGAGGGCAAGAAAGATTTTACACACAAGGTAGGATATTCAGCATTTGTGAATAATACTTATATATATTATGTATATATGTGTATATTTATAATGTATGTGTGTGTGCGTGCATGTGTGTATGTGTATGTGTATGTGTGTATGTGTGTGTGTATGTGTATGTGTATGTGTATGTGTATATGTATATGTATATGTATATGTATATGTATATGTATATGTATATATATATGTATATATATATGTGTATATATATATATATATATATATATATATATATATATATATATATATATATATATATACATATATATATATATATATATATATATATATATATATATATATATATATATATATATATATATATATATACATACATATACATACATACATACATACATACATAGGTTACCTGAAAAGACCATAAATCATAAATGAAAAAAAAAATGAAAATAAAAATGTCTTGAGTATTATAAATAGATAAGTTGTATGATTTTATCTAAAAATTAGAATTTTAAGTCATCACATGCTGAGATTCAGAATTTACTGAAACAGTTCATTGATTCATGTAAAGCAAATGTAAAGGCCACAAAGCTGGTGATTAGTTACAGCATTTCAAAAAATGTATCACATCACTGTCTCATCAGATAGGTTGATATTTTCTACTTGTTTATAGCATTTACCCTCTCCATTATGTATTGATATCTAGATAGTACTTAATACTGGAGGGGTTGATAAAAACACAAAGAAATACTCAAACTCCAAAAACTTTTCTTCCAATTCCAGGTTGGCTACAAGAAATGGCACGAATTTGAACCCGGCCATCCACTCTATAATGATCCTGTTGCTAGCTAGATTGGCTGTAATGAAAGTCCTTAAACTGCAACTTGTATATTTTGTATTCAGAAATTACAAATGAAATATATTGTGTATCTTCTTCAAAGGCTGTAAATACAGTGTGATCAAGTTATACTAAAAAAGATCTAGATGGTATGCTCTCCTTGGTTATATTTTTTTCTGTTTTGAAAGAAGTTTGTACTAGAATCAGTTCAAGTTAATATAATGTGTACTAATTAGCAAATAACAGTTTATCAAAATGTAAAAAATAATTATTTGAATTACATGAACACTTTTTTAACTTAGAAGAAACTGCATTTTATCTAGATCTTTTACTGATATAAAATAATGTTACTGTATTTAAGTATTCAATTTGAGTAGATCACACAACATTTCATGAAGTTTTCAGAATTGTAAATATTTTGTGCACATTTATATGTTAATGTAAGTGTTAAAAATACACATAATTATATGTAACAAGCCTATATTAATTGTCTTTTCTCCAGAGGGATTGTAACAGTAAAATTCATGAAGTACATCTCTAAAAGAAATATTAGAAATATGAAAATAAATGGATAACATCTCAATACAAGTTCCTCATTAAAAAAATTCTGACATATCAGTTGATCCAGTTTGGATTGCTGTGTCACGACACCTCAAGAGGCAAAAACAGAATTGAGGAATTTCATTGTAAGTCTTCCTGGACCAGTGGTCCCTCCAGGCTAATATTTTGGCTTCAAGTAGTAAGCTATGGCTGATATATTGCAAAGGCCGCAGATTCAGTCTATCAGTAAGTGCCTAACCACCATAACACTAACAGGTGTTCCTGTATGAAAGGAGCATGATCAAGTTAATTTTAGGGATTGGGAAGTGAAAAGAATATCTTACTAACAGTGACGAAGATAGAAGGCAATAGGACTGCAAGAGGGATGGAAATTGAAAATGAGTTGTGCAATTCATTTATTACATAAAATCATATTTGTTTTAGAGTTTTTGACAAGGAGCAAGAAAGAATGTAATATTACATTTATATTATTATCCTTGATAAAATCTAATTCTAAATTATTGATACTTGTATATTATTTTGCACTTATTATTGGCAACCTTTTCACTTCATCTTTATTGTTCTCATGGATAAAAGCTAAGCCAGTAAATCAGAAGTAAGTATTACCATGAGAATTTTCAAAGTAAGTTCCATTTTCTGTTGAAGTACCTGATCTAAGATGAATGTTTTTTGGTTTTCATTGTTACATATATTTTTTTCTTTAAAACTTTAAAAATTTTCATTTTGTATCATGAATAACATTTGTATCAGTGGAAACAGCATAGCATAGGTTCCAGGGATATTTGAAATTGGGGGGAATTACAATAATTGCTCAACAAGAATTCCCCAGTTTGGTCTACTGGCCAGTCCCTTTGTGATGAATCTGAAGTGCTACTCCTTGTCACATTCACGAGAGGAAGTGTACCAGTGCAGTACCGTAATTATTGGAAAGATGCTTCTTGCATGTTTTGTGCAGTTGATACAATTCAACAAGACGATGTGAAATTAAGTAATTTTAGTGGGCCACTTATGTTTTATATTAAATAAATTTAAAGATGAACTACTAGGAGAGCAAGGATTGTTTTATAGTGCATGTGCACTTAATCCTTGTTTTTAAGATATGTATTAAACATTGCCCATGTTTAAATGCAATTAAAAGAAAAATAATTTTGGGGAGATTCTAAATTCAATTGAAAATTAAGTATGCATGAGATTTAATGGAAATTTTACTGTGTTAAATAGATGTAACTGAGAACTACACATGAAATTTTTTACTGTGTTAAGTAGATGTAACTGAGAACTACACATGAATTAAAAGGGTTAAAATATGCTCATAGACATTATTGATCTAATGATTTTTAGACAGATTTATCAAAGCTAAGAACCTTAACCTCTTAATAGAATACAACCAGGCTATTATATTTTTATATATGAGATATGGGTTCATCTGCATTATTCTAGACTGTCTGTTACTATAAAATACATAGATGGAAATTGATTTGGGAAGTAAGCATAAGAGCATCAATATATTAATCTTGAATTTAATTATAAGATTACATTGTTCCTTCAGTTATTTGCATTAAAGATAGGCTGTGGTCCAAATCTCACTCAATAATTACTAATAAAAAAATATATTTGAAAGTCAGGAGAAAACAAGCAGTAATATTCTTATTTGGATAAAAAAATAAGAACCATAGAAAATCTATTCAGTTATTGAATTTAAAACATTAGCAAGAAAGCCTTTCATGATTCAGTCAGATGCGACATATTATTAAAAGATGTTGATTATAAATAAGCCTTGTTTTAGGGATAATGTGTCATAGTTAATCAAGCTGTGCATCCAAAAGACCTTTAATTACTTTTTTTTAATGAGTGAGTTATAACCAGCACAGAAAACCATAGACTTTGTTCTGCTTAACTTTAGCATCAATTGGTATCATTTATCAGATTGAAGAATGCTGAATCTCTTTTCATCTTATGTCACAATGAATGTAACTTCTTCTATAATACTAGTTTTTAAAATTTAATTTCTTTCATTGCTTTTATTTATCTTATTCATGACACTGAAGACAACCCACATTTATCTATTCATTTACTTTCAACAAGCAAGATGTTGAACAGGATTTGGTAAATAAAGTAATGGTCAATGGTTACACTTTATTTTTTTCATCTTTTTGGTATAATAGAATGTCAAGTGATCATTTTCCTTTGTAACCTACACAACATACATAACCACATTAACTCAAGACTTATGCATGTGCAAGAAGAACTAGTTTTCCATTCTACACCTATACTACAGAAATGTGTTAAACCTAGCAAATCAGTGGCTTACACTTCTATGCATAAAACCTAATATCAATATTAAGAGAAAAAAAGATCATAACATAAATAACAATGAACAGAATGGAAAAAAAAAAGTTTTAGTTAGCAAATTGCCCAATGAACATTTACACAGAATAAGAATACTTTTATGTGTGTTTGTGAGGGGTGTGGTGTTACACAAACACACTGTCAAAACTTCTTTACCAGAAAAAAAAACAAAAAACACTTCTACATCTTACTGAGGAGTTGACAAGACTTCAGTGTTATTTCTGAAATCACAAACTGTCTCCCTTCCAGCTTAATAAAATAAAAAAGCACATCACAATTGTCACTTTTTGAAACTTACCAAAACAAAACCAAAATGTACTGAGTATTCAAAAAGAGTTTAGAGATATGTGAAATACAATTGTTTTTTCTATACCTGTATTTTGGTTTACACTGATTACACAAAATAGTGTACAAATCTATGCACTGTTTGTGAAGGAGGAAATGTATTCTTGCTTAGCACTTAATCCTACATCTTAAAACAATATTTGGTTTGTAGACTATGCTTGAATTTAACAATTATTCATCAACATTCAGCACAGGACAACTCCATAAATCTTACTGAAATACATTTATATGTCTAAGTATGCACATATACCAAATATGTATAGGGGTGACTTACTCACGTTTTCCTCCTCAACTGTTGTATTTTATTAAAAATATATTGGCTGTTTATTCTTTTCTATATAACTATATCACAAATATTGTTCATCTAACAATATGAAGAAGGATATCTTGTTTACATAGAGTTCAATACACTAGTCAAAATTCAAGGTCTTTAAACTTCAAAGCTTGATAAAAGTAAGGAAATTTCCTGTTTTTGTTCCAGACTGATTATCATTTGATGCATGCAAGCAAAATATCTCTTACAGCCTGTCTCACATTTCATTACTTTATCCCTTGAGCCACTTTTACTAATGTGCATGCAAGAATGATAACAAACAAATGCAGTAAAATATAATACAAGGAAGCAAATTGAGTTTAAATAGGAGTCATAACAGAAAATGCCCATGAGCTCTGTTGCAAAGACCGTCATTACATCTGCCTGGGTAATTCAATAATGCAAAGTTTCAATAATTCTTTTCAAGACTGGCTTCATTGTATCTTAACCCATTCGCCCTGGATTTATGTTCTGTCCCATTTAAGACAATGAAAGATTGCAAAGCCCCTTTCCAAAAGTCAAGGAAAAGGGTAAACAGGTGAGATATGTAGGACTAATAACCAACTCCTTGGTGACTAAGCACTTGTAGAGCCATCTATGTGTAATTACAATAAATAAACTTGTATTACATTGGGCATGGCATGTATTCTTGCCATACAGGATGATTGGGTTAAAATACACAGACACTTCTTTTGCATCAGAGAGCAACAATATTCACCAAAACACTCATTCATCTTTACAATTAGTATAAAAACCTAAATCTAATCAGGCTGTTCCAGTTCCGACCTTGTAATGCCCATCTTGCTTTTTACAACAATGATGAAAATGTGTATGGCAATGCATATGTTTATATGTCATGTGTGTATATGCATGCATTCGTATGTTTTATGGGGAAATATAACAAGCCTGACATTACTTGAGTCATAATTACATAAAAAAAAAAATTGAATTCCATTCCTTTTATTTTCAGATTACAAGCTTTGGTCTCAATATATTAAAACCTCAAATCAATATTTAACAAATCACAAAAAATTACCAATCTACATGATTGTGACATACCTACTCTTACCAATTATACACACAGTAAGATTTTTCTTACCATAAAGAAAAGTTTATGATAAGGATTTCTGACTAGTTCCTGTTCAATACAAGTCTCACTATCCTGGTATTAGTTTTCTGCACACAATTTTATATTCAATGAAAGTCTAAAAAGATATTTACTTATCTGGAATAGGAGCAAAAATATAATATAGCTGTAAACAGAGATGGCAACATATTACATTCTAAACCAATAAAACTTTTATTTCCCATGATAACTGAGCAATTTAACTTTTTCATCTGCTGCTCAATTATGTTAAACTTAGCAATTAACCATTTACTTCATAAACGAAGCCGAAGTGCATCCATCACATACAAACGAACACCTTCATAATCCAGTTGTAATCCAGTGCTTACAAATAGGTATAAATCAGTCCCTGACTTTTCCTGTTACAAAAACATTATGGTCCTTCAGTGAAAATCAGCTACTTAGATTACAAAGCATAGTATGTATCATAAGATAATATATAATAAATAGAATCTTCAGGGTTTATAATATAAATAAACATGCAATCTTTTAATACAGATTTTTAGAAACCCCTTTCAATCTGTCTCATATCATCCTCACCTCACACGTCCCTTTATTTTGATGTGAATGAGATTTTAATACAATCTAAAAATGAGAACCAGAAATGAGATCAAAATTTTGTAACATTTTCATCACACTAGAGGCACCATTATAAAATGACATTACATGAATTATAATTCACTTTTTAGAACATGTCCGAATATTTTGAATGGGAAACATATTATTACAGCTAGAAAATAAAATCTTAAGTCTTAAAAAAATAACATACTAGTAGATTACAAACTGGTGGAAATTACCCTACACAAGTTTACATAACAAAGTATCAGTCTTTAAAATAAATAAGTATCACAAAGCACGTATTCAAATGGGAATGCAGCATTTCCAACAATAAATTGCACATATCAATACTGTACAAATCAAACTCTAAAAAAGTAAGAGTCTGATACAAGACTTTCCTTTTTCAAAAGCCAAGGTCCAAATATGCATGCACAAACATATATAACTTATAGGCCTTAAACTACTTTCATTACGATCATCAAGTTTACTGGAAAAAATGCACATTTAATTGCCCTATGCTGAAAATTTTCCAAAATCAACAAAAGCAATATGGCACAAGCAACAACAATCATTTGTTGTTTGAGATTTTGAGTATCTCTAACTGGGTGACTTTGAGAATTTTCAAAAATTCCATAACACTAAGTAAAATACAACTCTTTCTTTACTCTCTTCTTAATAATATTTGTTCAGGTCATTAAATATGTTTGGACTAAGACAGGCTGCAATCTGGAGATATTCCCAGAAACACACATTGATGTTTGTTCCATAACGTAACCTCGATCAGTCCTTCTTTTCATGCTGAGGCTCTTCTGAAAAATGAAAATGGTTGTGTGAATATTATCATACAACAAAATGTGAACCTAAACCCTTTATGTCTGTACAAAATTTGGTGTGTCTTTATAAAAAAATTCCATTACCAATCCACCAAATCTGCCCTAACCATAATAAAATAAGGACCCTCAAAGACAGTTAAAAAACTCTTTTACAAAATAATGCTTGACTTCGCTCAACAAGATATAATTAAAGGGAACAGTCTGGTGTGTGGAAGGGGACCATGGAAGAGAAAACTATGGCATATACCACACTGTAGCTAATAGAATTACTGTATCACAATCAATAATTGGCAGGGAACACAATTGGATTAAGGTAGAGAGAGGCCCACACGGGGAATGGGGATATGGAGATGGCATTGTGGGTGTGGTTGGAGGAACCTTGCAAAATGCTGCTAGATATGAACACTAAATATATCTCACTGATGTTGAAAAAGATACAGGAAACAAGCCTGTTTACAAGTGTAATACATTTACCAGTAGTAAATACATCGAAACAAATCTTCATTACAGATATTTACTTTGCATTATAGTAGACATAAATCTGCATAGTTTTACTATTTAACTTATAAAAAGGAAGTATTTTAACTGTGTCAATATTTATTTTTAAAATAACCTTGATACACTAAATTTTCTAGCTTTGTCACATATAATATTCAATCCACATTTGTTTTCTCACCATAAAATCCCAACTCTCACAGAATTCTTACTCCTAAACACTAAGGCAGTAAAAATATTACACACAGCTTTATTCAAAAATGTTACACTACTGCACTTTATATATTCTTACTGTATGCAAAGTTAATGTAAAGTAAAAGACACACAATTCTGAATAAACAGGAAATACTTCACAAATACTCTCTCACCTGGATAAACTCATTTCCCAATAATTAAATGCTATGTTATGTCAATAGTCTTTTCAAAATACATACTCTCTCATTAGCATGCAGTCTTTGCACAATGCAGAAACTCAATCCTTTCTGTAACATACCTTCCTCCTCGTCTGCATCCATAATATCAGAGCACCAGATGGAGTAGCAAATCAGAGACAGGAAGCCAAGGGGCAGGCCAAAGAGCACGGCTGTCAGGACTGGATTACCCTGCCACATCTCCTCTAATGAAGTCCTTGCATTATAATAGATGCGGTAGAATCTCACAGGCCATGTATCTCCACCGTAGGTCTGTATGGAATGAGGCAGTCCAATTAAGAATACTGTCATCTAAAAAGTCTCGTACATCCATTATGAATTTATCACAGTAAAACCACAAATAATAAGAGCACTGTACAAAAAATACAACACAGACTCGTATCATACCGGAGCAGTCTCAGCTATGACAGAGTCGAGGAACATTTCAATGGCAGCTGGAGTTAGATGGTGCGGAGGGTCCTCGGGGAGGTGGTGATGCATGGTGGACGAGTTTACAACAAGAAGCGACGGCAGCTGGAGCCTTTCCATGGCAATACTGTTTGCTAGATCTGGAGTTCCGGTCCAACCAAACTGGTAATGCCTGGAAATGCAGTATAAAGTATCAAGAGAGAGAGACTGAACTAACATGTAACTAAATATTCAATAATATACAAATGGCTTAACTTGCGTGTCTAATATTTATTTCCATGATATGAAATTTCTGTTTGTTTTGTGATTAATGTGAATTAAATAAAATCAGGATACCTTTCTCACTAACATGACACAACAATCTTTTACATGCATGAATATTTTCCAACAGCATACCATTGTTTCAGTTACTTACTTGTGATACTTTTCTCGATTGTTCTTGATAACAGATTCCACCATATCCTTGAATCTAAGAAATAAGATTAAGAACACAAAACTTTAATAATCAACTCCTATGAAGAAAAATTCAATACAAAATGAAACCTTCCCTTGAATGTACCACTTCAGGTGCATTTATCTTTATACCCTAAATATTACAGCATAGCAAACTATGTTCTCCTTAATATATGCTTTAAAATATTTACCTTTAAAATATTGCTATCAGATTAACCAAGAATGACTTTTTCTAAATCTACATAAACTGTAATGAACAAATAACATGCATTTTCACTATTCTATGTGCACATGTTTGTGTGCAACTGTGTTTGTGTCTGTGTGTGTATGTGTGTGCGCATATATATTTGCATGTGCTTGAATGTGTGTATGTACATGTAAGTGTGAATGTGTATGTTCATGTGCATATTTAGGTGTGTTTTTATTTGTAGTTGTATATATATATATGTGTAAGTGTATGGGTGTGTGGGTGTTGGTGTGTTTTTGTTTGTAGGTATTTGTGTATGTGTATGTATAAGTATGTGTTTGTGTATGTGTGCGTGTGCGAGTTTGCATGTGTGCGTGTGTGTGTGTTTTGTGGTGTGGTGTGCTTGTAGACATGGGCAAGTGCAAGTGCATGTTTTGTGAATGATTTTGTGAGCGTGTGTACATAAGCATGTAAACATAATGAGGAATTAAGCATATGTGTGCAGGGCTCACAAAATTTTGAAATCCCTGGTAGCCCATTTTATTTTACCTGTGGTGAAATTTCTAATTGCCTGAAGGACCAGGAGTTTAATTGTCAGGGGAGCAATTTTGTGAGCCCTATTGAGTAATTGTGTATGGATCAATGTAAAAAAAAAAGAAAGAAAGAAAAAAAAAAACAGTGCTATACAGTATAGAACTGAGAATGAAATTGGAATATTCTATAATACACAGCCAATACTTCAAAAGGTATTCCATACATTTTTAATTTGGTAACCACTACTATACAATAAAAGTTTCTTAAATTTTAAATATCTTGTTGTACTTCATACTTTAGGCTTATCTTAATATCTATCTGCATTTCTAGATTTCTTCAGAAAACTATTTCCAAATACCTTCATCATACAGTTTTATGCATTAAAGTTCAAGCTACATCTTTCACATGCACATTTTCTTCAACAGTGATAAATCAGAAAAAAATGTTGGAAATAATAATAGAAAATAATGAAGGGACAGCCATGACCCTTAAGTACCATTTCTCTCTACATAACATATTTGTGTTTTGTATGATAAGAATTCAGCATTCCTTATTTCTATACATTTTCTTGCAATGTGAAGCAGTCAGAAAAAAAAAAAAAAAAAAAAAAAAAAAAAAACAGAAAACTGGGGAAGAAAGGTTGTATATAAAATACATATTATAACCTAAAAATTAGGACAATACTGTAAAACAAAACAACTCATGAAAAGATAACAAGATTCTAAATTACCAAACTACCTCAAATTCATATCACAATATGTTAACCACTTACTTGTACCCATCAACATAGTCTTCCCTGAAATTGGGAAATTACGTTAGTAGGATCATATATTAGTAGCCATGGGAAATTATATCCCTTCTAACATGAGTTTTTTTTTTTTGTGTGTGTGTGTGTGTGTGTGTGTGTGTGTGTGTGTGTGTGTGTGTGTGTGTGTGTGTGTGTGTGTGTGTGTGTGTGTGTGTGTGTGTGTGAGTGGTGTGAGTGGTGTGTGTGGTGTGTGTGGTGTGTGTGGTGTGTGTGGTGTGTGTGGTGTGTGTGGTGCGTGTGGTGAGTGTGGTGTGTGTGGTGTGTGTGGTGTGTGTGGTGTGTGTGGTGTGTGTGGTGTGTGTGGTGTGTGTGGTGTGCGTGTGCGTGTGCGTGTGCGTGTGCGTGTGCGTGTGCGTGTGTACACATGTGAGTAATCACATTATGTGTACAGGTTTATGTTTAAATATAACCTTTTCTTCCTCTCTTTCTCTCTCAAGTGAACCGTGAAAGAAAAAATAGCTAATTCCTAAAATAACTTATAAGCTGGCAATTACATATAATATATTTAAATCCCTATAGAAAAAGCAAGTCCAAATCCCAAAATAAGCTTTTACTATTTCAGCTTAGTAGATGACTGCTCAAACATACATTTAAATGTTATGCGTGATGTACACAGCATTACTGTATTACACTACAAAATACAATGATGACCAAGCTGTTAATTTCTTTACAAAGCTAATTTAAGTATGACATCATATTTGAAATTCTCTGAGGGTCTCTTGCTCTACCTTTGTAAGAACTGTTAGTCTCTCTAATAAACTGGAAATTGAAAAGAACTAAATGTTAAATATGCCCTTACATAATGAAGTTATTAAAAAATTTTTAGGAACAATTAAAACAAACAACTCATGAAAAGATACAAGATTCTAAATTACCAAACTACCTCAAATTCATATCACAATATGTTAACCACTTACTTGTACCCATCACATAGTCTTCCCTGAAATTGGGAAATTACGTTAGTAGGATCATATATTAGTAGCCATGGGAAATGATATCCCTGTGTGTGTGGTGTGTGTGGTGTGTGTGGTGTGTGTGGTGAGTGTGGTGTGTGTGGTGTGTGTGGTGTGTGTGGTGTGTGTGGTGTGTGTGGTGTGTGTGGTGTGTGTGGTGTGTGTGGTGTGTGTGGTGTGTGTGGTGTGTGTGGTGTGTGTGGTGAGTGTGGTGTGTGTGGTGTGTGTGGTGTGTGTGGTGTGTGTGGTGTGTGTGGTGTGTGTGGTGTGTGTGTGTGTGCGCGTGCGAATGCGCATGCGTGTGTGTGTGTGTGTACACATGTGAGTAATCACATAATATGTACAGGTTTATGTTTAAATATAACCTTTTCTTCCTCTCACTTTCTCTCTCAAGTGAACCGTGAAAGAAAAAATAGCTAATTCCTAAAATAACTTATAAGCTGGCAATTACATATAATATATTTAAATCCCTATAGAAAAAGCAAGTCCAAAACCCAAAATAAGCTTTTACTATTTCAGCTTAGTAGATGACTGCTCAAACATCCATTTAAATGTTATGCATGATGTACACAGCATTACTGCATTACACTACAAAATACAATGATGACCAAGCTGTTAATTTCTTTACAAAGCTAATTTAAGTATGACATCATATTTGAAATTCTCTGAGGATCTCTTGCTCTACCTTTGTAAGAACTGTTAGTCTCTCTAATAAACTGAAAATTGAAAAGAACTAAATGTTAAATATGCCCTTACATAATGAAGTTATTAATATTTAACGACCTTCATTAAACATCTTTAGCGCAACATCATACAGCATTAATGTAGCAGATTAATGTAGCAGATTTATTATCAAGACCAAGCATACAGAATGTGATCTAGACATGTAATAACATGTCTAGTAAGTACAATTTTACTTACGCATCCTCATCCGTGGTAATTGTTCCAATCTTACTTTCCTTGACAACTGTGATTGCAAGAAATTTGTTGATCTGAAACATACAATTTGTTCAACAAGAATACTGCTTTACTAAATGATCATCATCATTCCTTTAACACCAATTCAATTGCATTATAGTCTACATACATTATAATCCTTTTTAAAAATGATATCATGCTCCTTACCTTCCACAGTTGGTGCAGATTGCCATGTGTGATTTTCGTAAATAATGGAAAACGTTCATGATTAATCCAGTCAGCCAGGGATGTGTTGACAACAGTTAGATTCTCCGCTATTTCGCTCTCCTCAGGTACTGTAATATTTGAAGTAGAAATCATAAATATCTTTCTCTCGATACTCAGAAAAGCGAGAATTCTCTTCACATAGTGTATAGCATTTTATTTCTATTCAATAAAATATGAATTGACAATTTTTTCTTGCAACTGTTTGGAGTATAATGCAGGATAATATGATTACAAACTTAAAAAATACACAAAGCAAAATTTCCAACCTGGGAAGAAATAGTTTAGGCCATCTTTGAAGACTAGAATACCAGGGTTGTACTCCAACTCAGTATGCTGCAAAATACAAAGAAAGAAATGAGAATGCCTCATAAATGACATCATAGATAAAGGAAACTCAAACTCAATATTTCACTGAAAAATGGACTAGCAATACATTCCACAGTTACATAACTTTTTTTTTCTTTATCTAACTGCATTCCAAATGGAATGCCTTGTGACACACTGTATTGTTTATGCTTAACCTTAGATACTACATATACTGTCCACTGTAATATTTATTTGTAAATTTTGTTTGTACATAGGCCTAGCAATTGACTTCCTGGTGACTAAGTGCTTGTGGAGCCATTTCTGTAAACAACATTATCAAAATAAAACTATAGGGAACTCGGCTCATATGTGCATGCTCTCCTAGCATCAAGAGGTTAATGAATATTCCAATACCATCTTTAATTCTATGCTATATATACATTAGCTCCAGTTTTGAGAAACTGTACTTTGCACCTAAATCTGGTTTTAAAGTACATTTACCAATATCTATATAAAATTATTTATGATTTGTGCTTCCAAAAATAGAGATGACATACAGATAGGCATAAATCACAGAGAAACAAAAACAAAGAACAACACATACATGAACACTCTCATATTTATGAACTCTCTCAACCACATAGACAAGCACATACTTACACATGTATGTATACGTGCATATTCACATTTATGTATTTGCATAGAACCCATAATTCAAAGATAAAGCAAACAATATTACAACCATTAAAGCTATCTTACCTCTGTCATACAACCAGCATCAATTGAGTAGAAGTAGTTGAAGGGTCTATATATATTTGCTAATTCGGAATAGGCATCCTGTAACAAAGAGAAGTTAATTTAAGAACATAATCCAAAGTGAGTAAGAGAGTGAGTGAGTGAGTGAGTGAGTGAGTGAGTGAGAGGGAGGGAGGGAGGGAGGGAGGGAGGGAGGGAGGGAGGGAGGGAGAGAGAGAGAGAGAGAGAGAGAGAGAGAGAGAGACAGAGACAGAGAGAGAGAGAGAGAGAGAGAGAGAGAGAGAGAGAGAGAGAGAGAGAGAGAGAGAGAGAGAGAGAGAGAGAGAGAGAGAGAGAGAGAAAGAGAGAAAGAGAGAAAGAGAGAAAGAGAGAAAGAGAGAAAGAGAGACTGAGTGTGTGTTTGTGGAGGGGGTATGTGTGTGTGGAGGGGGTATATGTGGGTATGTGTGGGCATATGTGGGTATATGTGGGTGTGTATGGGTGTGTGCGGGTATATGTGGGTGAGTGTGTGTGGTGTGGTGTGGTGTAGTGTAGTGTAGTGTGGTGTGGTGTGGTGTGGTGTGGTGTGGTGTGGTGTGGTGTGGTGTGGTGTGGTGTGGTGTGGTGTGGTGTGGTGTGGTGTGGTGTGGTGTGGTGCAGTGCTCATGTGTGTTTCTAAAAATACATATTTCCATATATATGCTTGAGCAATTATATGCAAAGACAATATGAATCCTTAAAGTGGAAGTAACACTTTACCAGAAACAGGAAACCATAAAAATCGGCATTGATATGGCTTCAACCTTACTGCCTCTAATATCTATTACTGAATGATGATCAAAATATGCATTATTGTGAAATAAACTCAAAGATATTATCCTTTTAATCTTAAAATGAACATCACCAAAGACTCAAAAGCTATTTTCAGATACCATGTGTATTCATCTAAACACAAACTATGACAACCTCCCTCTTGAACAATGCAATATTCAACTTACCCATAATGCACCTTCCTTCTCCCCTGCATACACGAAGAACAGATCTTCCTGCGCAATGATTTCTTTTAAGTGATGGAAAGATGCTATATGCTGAATTGGAGGAGCAGCCATTCGGACGGCATATCCAACTATGTCTTCTTTGGCTCGGTCACCACTGTAGGTGTGTTTTGTGTCCCCTTTGAGACTGTAATGGTGAAGGTGTACATTAGCATGAATTCTTCTGCTTCCTGGTTCTGAGATATCATTTAAAACTTTGAGGGTGATACCTTACTTCTGAGAGAAGAACTTGATCAATAATATATATACTATAAATATACTTTGGTTTATGTTTTAACTCTAATTATTGTTACAACTCTATACATGAATTTACTCAAGTCTTCAGTATATCAAACTTGTAATTACCTTTTGCATAGGATGGGGGCAGCAAATAAGTTCATTATAATTTATCCAGTCTCAATATAAGTACAGATTACAGAAATCACTTACTACATAATGGTGGGGAAACCCTTGATACTAAATTCTGTTGCCACTGCTGTGAAACGCGTGCAATCAACACGCCCAACACGAATTTCTGTGCCATAGAGTGCATGTGCAACATGGTTCCACACGGGATCTAACTTCTTGCAGTGTCCACACCATGGAGCATAAAACTGGAATTTTATGAAATGTAATAATCACTCAAATTTGTCAATCCTGTATACCCAATATACATACTATATGTTATTATTTGTTCTAAAAAATGATAATTATTTACAGTACGGATGGACTTGCCAGAGACTAAGCACCCAACTCCATGTCACAAAATTTATTCAACAATCCAAGTTGCCATGACTAGCCATTAAGGGAGGCTTAATGGGAGACTCTGCCCCCAACACCACCCCCCAACAAATATTGTTTTCACCTCAATATGCAAGGCTAAAACAAGCGGACCTAGGCTGTGAGTAGTGCTCTCCTCGATCTTTTTCCTTTCTTTGTGGCATTACCATTGGTGTCTGCAGATTATTTCTTGTACCAACAACTGTAACTTTTTGTTCTCTACCAGATCATCATCTTCAAAGATTAACCAGAAAAATTATTCATACTTATGTACATTAAAAATATCAACTAAATTACATTATAAAATCTAGTGGACCAAAGGAAAATCATCTTACCATGATAAGCCATGACGAATCGCCTCGCAGCTCCAGAAAACGATCGCTTAATTCCAGCACTCGGTTGGCAGAATTACTCAATGCCAATACTGTTGAACAGAACATAAATTCTATTAGTGGTTGAATAAGTCTTTTATTTACACCAAGTATCCAATTAAAGATGTAAAAATTTGTGTAATGGTTTGAAAGAACAAATCTGATAACTGTTAGCATGACTTCTGCATGTCCACAGCTACCTTCCGTATCTCTGGCGCTTCAATAAATACCAACAAACCTCCTCTACATATGTACAAGCAAGATAGAGCTTGAAGACCTCAATGATTTATGGTCAAATAGGAAAGTAGTCTGACTTTCATTTTATGCAAAATGTACACTATGTGGTTTACAGGCTTTGCCAGAGTGATTAGCGCAGAGATCTTGGCAGTTACGTGACGCTGCCCTACTACTGAACTGGGCTCGAGATTGTATAGCTTCCGTCAGTGAGTTTCATGTGCAAAAGGGTCCTGTTTCAAAAGCCAGTTCAGGGATTATAGAAGCATTTATCCATATAATTCCACTAAAATCTGGTTTTAACAAGAAGCTATACAACCACATCATCTACAACACACTACCCAATCACATCGCATATCTATCATGAACCTTAACCTCAGTTTCACACAGCATCACTAAAACTAAACTGAAAATAAAAAATAAAACATTAATCCCCACACCCGTAGTTACACACATTACAACCAATCACACAAATATACAACAAAACCTAACACAAAAGACACACAAACAAAAAAAAAAAAAAATTAATGTAAAACATTTACACTAAACCCCATCTACTTTTTAGTGGTCTGCTGACAAGAGTACATTAACACCCGTTCAAACACCTGCTTTTCCAAATATCCAACTTAAACACGCATTCACTTAAACGAAATGTATCAAAGGAACCCGAGATCACAAGCCTCTTCACAGTTATTAATATTAAAAAGAACGAGGAATAATGATAAGGATAACCCGTCGAGAATCCCGGCGACCAGATTCACACCAGAGGAACCTGGTCGATATCCCCCACAGCCTTGTTTTCGGGTCCTCACGCCCTCTTTCGAAGGCCTTTTCCACTTCCTCGGAATTCTCTGTGCTTCACTCACTCTCCTGTGTATTTATTTCAATCTAAAAACGCCCAAAACGAATGAAATTCACAGACCTGTCATGAAGACAAGCAACCTCATAGCGTCCATGTTGT